CAGCGAGTTGGCTTTGCCCGGGAAATGGTGGCGGGTGAAATTGAACTTGGAAAAGAAATCCGCCCATCGCAACTGCTTAGCGTTAAGGTTGCGGGACGTCCGCAATACCTCCAAGTTCTTATGATTGGTCCAGATTTCAAAAGGCACCCGTGCCCCCTCCAACCAGTGGCGCCAGGCCGAGAGGGCCCACTTAATCGACCCCGCTTCCTTGTCCCATATCGACCAAGAGCGCTTAGTGTCATTGAACTTACGGGAGACATAGGCGAGGGGATGCAATCTCCCATCCCCCCTCTTCTTGCAAGATGGCACCGCCTATAGCGACATCTAATGCATCAACTTGCACAATAAATTTTTTATTTTCGTTGGGGTGTGCTAAAACAAGTTCAGACGTGAACAGAGCCTTCAAACGATCAAACGCCTCCTAACATCCGATCGGCCACATCAGCTTGGCACCTGGCCGAGTACTCTTGGGTCCCATTCCTTTCGTTTTTAACAAATCCGTGAGCGGTAAGCTCACCTGAGCAAAATTGACGAAAAATCTATAACAATTGGTGAATCCAAGGAACGCTTGGAGCTGCCTCCGGGTGTGAGGTGGCTCCCACCCCAGTATGGGTCATCTCCAACCCCTTAGGGGAGATGTGATAGCCGAGGAAATCGATCTCCCTTTTCCCACCGGCTCATCTTCTTCATCGCTACTCGTGAGTAGCTCCTCCGCAGGAACTTCAGCTTGCAGCGCCTGTTGGAACTTCGGCTGGGCCACACTCTTCCATGCTGGGGCGTCCACCCACTTCTTTTCTGGCTCCTTCCTGAGTACAGTTGGGGTTCCCCCTCCTGGGTAGGCGGCGGCAAAGTGACCTGCTTATCCACATCTCAGGCACAAACCTTGCTTCATGCGCTGGTCCCGCAAGCCCTCTTTGGGTTTAGGGATCTTGGGTTTGACCGTTGGCGGTCCGACCTTTCCCAGGGTGGCTGCGTTGTCTATGCGGATGGTCCTCAGGCGGTTCTCTGCGTCAGCCGCTTCCCGCATCCTGGCGTGAAGGGACACCGGTTGAACACTACGCAGGACCGTCTCACAAATCTCAGGGTGCAGACCTAGCAGGTACTGCTCTGCCATCACACCATCCGACCAGCCCTGGATCTTCGTGGCTTGCTTTCTGAATGCCTCAGTGTATTCACGCACCGTCTTCTTACCTTGCTAAAGGTGCGCAAGTAGGCACGCGTGTGTTCACTAGCATTCGGGTCCTCCATACTGCACCCGGAGAGCCCACATGAATTCATCCACTCGCTTGAGTTCGGGGCCCTCCGAATTATGAAGGCTCATGTACCAGTCCACTGCCTCATCACGTAGATGCGAGGCAATGTAGTCCACACGCCTCTCTTCGGTGGGAAACAGATGGCCCCAGTTAGTGATAAAGTTCTCCACTTGCACCACGAAGAACGCCAGCTTCCCAGGCGTCCCATCGAACGTGGCATCCAATAGCTCAGTCGGCTTATGTACCTCCGGCCCATCTCGGGGTCAAGGCTCCGGCATTTGGTCTCGGGGGAAGGGGGGCTGGCAGAGCTGGTTGCCCCAGAATCCCTGGTACTGCCGGCGCTCCTGGGGCAGGTTGCGCCGGTTGCTGGAGACGGATTTCATGCTGCACCACCTCGGCTACGATCTGTGGGATGCTCAGAAGCTATTATTCCACTTGTTTCATCATGTCTCCATAGGACCGTTCCAGTAACTCCTTCACTCAGCCTGCAATGCACTAGCTCTCCCCCCTCTCGGGGCCATGGCCTTCAAGGCTGGTCATAGCGGCTCCCTCGGTGCGGCCCCGGAGTAAGCATCCACGTCTCCTGGGTGTCTGCCTTGAATTTCCCCCATCGCGGGCCACGAAGGGTTGATGTCACACGTGGCCTTGTTCCCCCCACTGGTCCCAGGAAGAACCTCCCTGGTGCATCTCCTGCATCCTCGGGAATGGTGCTCGACACCGTGGTGGGGGGGGGGATGTAGTCACAAGCACGGTCTCCTCAGTTGTCACCAGGACTATTTCTTCCTCGCCTTCGCTCATTTCAGTCAGGAGAGATATGGACTGAGGGGAAGATGATTTCTGACACTCTGTCAGGGTTCAATAGTCAGATCGCACCACACAGCTCTTCATAAGAATTCTGTTTATTGGTAGTTCATAACTATGACACGTGTACTTCTTGTGTCAGGAATGGCCCGAAGCATCAAGGCACCCTGAATTATACTAGTTTCAAAACACCCACCCCCCTACAAACAAAGGCCAATAAGCAAAGTCCGCGCACAGGGGAAAGAGAGCAGGCAAAGGAGAAACCGTTTGTTCCCAGCGAGTCGGTAGCAGCTGGCACATCCAAGGTCAGTCAGGAATGGCCCAAAGCAGCAGGGCACCCAAAGTTTATAGTAGTCTCAAAGCACCCCCCATTACAAGCATAAGCCAATAAGCATTGTGCATGGTCCTGCGCGTGAGAGAGAAAATGAGCAGGAGAAAAGTGAGCCGTTTGTTCTCAGCAGGTCAGGAGCAGCTGTCAAAAAAGCATACACAGATAACAACTCAGACAGTAGACATCTTTAGTGTTCCAGGAAAGAGGATCACTCCCCACACATTCCAAAGACACGGCAGTGTTAACTGACACTAACTTTAATCACAATACACAACCTTAAAATAGTGTCCAGTCAATAATAGAAGGAAGCTCTGGCTCATACAACAAGGTAATAAAGCTATATTGGGATAGGCAGCACTGTGGTTATTTCAGGCCCACTTGATCCTTGGTTTCAGTTGCTATTTTTATTGAGAATTTGCTTTGAATAGCAGTGGCAGGTATCTTTTAAAAAGGGAGAGATTTGGAGTTTGCGATTTTATTTATGGGTTTTTTATGATTAATATTTTATTGAGTGTACATGTATCCATATATTTTATACATATCTTAACACTTCATTTTCCATATATTCTCCTCTTTCTAGAAATCATATTAAACATTGAAAGCATATAAATAATCTCCATCCTTGTTATTTTATTCCCTTTCTTTACCTGCTTAGCCAGACCACTGTACAACTTCCTCTAATTCATAATCTAAACATTATTAGATTCTTCCTTAATTTATCTCAGATTTCTTTTCTTCTTTAGCTGGATTCCCTCCATACACACGTATTTTATACTTATAATATATCTTATTCCATACCTAAAAAGGAAAGTTGAACAGGGTTGCCTCCGAAACTGGGTGCTGCAGAGAAACCTCTGCAAAAGAAGGAAACCCTCCTCCCTCTGATCGGAGGTGTTGTTTTAACTATTATTGTCAGCTGCCTTTGAGCCATGAGGAAAAATGGGATAAAAATGTTTTAATAAGTAAATAAAACAAGTCACCTCAGATCTATGAGGCTGTGTAAATTGTAGAATGAATTCCCTGGTACTTCTCTAATTTTCACCCCTTCCTGTGAAATACAGGGGGAGCTCCGGCACCTCATATTTTGACTCCTTTGCTGTCAAATCAATGTGGGCATGTAGTTGTGAACTGGAGCCCCAGCACCTCTCTCTTTGTTACCCTCTTCCTGACTGTCAAATCCAGAAGGGTGCACAATTTTCAAAAAATGAGCCCCAGCACCTCTCATTTTAACACCTTTGCTGTCGAATCCATTTTGCCCTGTAGTTGCGATCCGGAGCCCCAGCACCCCTCTCCTTTTCACCCTCTTCCTGTCAAATCCAGGAGGGGATGTCGTTGCCAGATCTAATCCCCAGCACCCCTCGCATTTTTACTCCTTTGCTGTCAAATACATGTGGACCAGTATTTGTGAACCTGAGACCTGGCACACTGCTCTTTCTTACCCTCTTCCAGACAAATCCATCGGTGTGTAGTCGTGATGTGAACCTGGGGCCCAGCACGTATCTCATCTTAATCCCCTTCCTGTCCAATCTGGGAGTGCATGTGGTACTTGCAGAACCTGATCCCCAGCACCTCTCTCGTTTTCACTCCTTTGCTATCAAGCCCAGGAAGACGTTGTGAACCTGAGCCCCAGCACCTTTCTCCTTGTCACCCTCTTCCTGTCAGATCCAGGAGGGTGCATAATTTGCAACGCCTGAGCCCCAGCACCTCTCATTCTGACACCTCTGCTGCCCAATCCGGACGTGCAGTTGCAAACCTGAGCCCCGGCACACATCTCTCTCTCTCTCTCTCTTTTTAAAAAAACTTTTTATTTTAAATTTGTAACATGAATAAACGTAACATAACCTTAACAAGATAAGATGAAGCATAAAGGTAAAGGTTCCCTTGCTCGATAGCCAGACGAATCCGACTCTAGGGTTGCGGTGTTCATCTCTGTTTCAAAGCCGAAGAGCCAGCGCTGTCTGAAGACATTTCCGTGGTCATGTGGCCAGCATGACTAAACACCAAGGCGCACGGAACGCTGTTACCTTCCCACTGAAGTGGTACCTATTTATCTACTTGCAATTTCTTGCTTTCGAACTGCTAGGTTGGCAGGAGCTGGAACTAGAGACAGGAGCTCACTCCGTCATGCGGCACGCGGGTCTCGAACTGCTGAACTACTGACCTTCCACAGCCTGCAGTTCAGCGTCTTAACCACTTGAGCTTCCCTAAACAGGAGCAGTGACAGACTAAAATACAAGTCAATTAACATTAGTACAAAAACAAAACATTAATTTTTTCCCCCCGGGGAATCGCCTGGTTTGCCTTAGTATTTCTCCCGATGTACTCCAGGAAAGGGAATAATTTTTCTGACACCCGTCTTCTTTCTTCCACCCTCTTCCCGCCAAATCCAACGGGCCATATAATCGCCCCGCTCTCTTTCACACCTTTTCTCTCAAAGCCAGGAGGCCGGGTAAAGTTAGTTGTGCACCAGAGCTCCGGCACCTCACGTTAACCCCTCTGGCTGTCAAACCCTGGGGAGGCGTGTGGACGCCGAATCCTTTATTCCTCCTCCTGCTTTCCCCTCATAGGCCGCCGCCGCCGCCGCCTCCTCCCCGCCCGTTTGCCTCAGAATCCGTTCCAAGGCCGCTGGGTGGTTGGCGGCGGCGGCCATGCGCCCGACCTCGGACTCACCTTCCCACCGGCAGGAAATCGACGGCGACTTCGCCGGGATGAACTCGCGGCTGCGGCACTGGCGTGAGGCCGCCACGGTGCTCCTGACGGCCGGCGGTGTCGGCCCGGGCCCGGCGGCGCCCGGCGTCGGGACTGGGGCCCGGCGTCGGCCCGGGTCCTCCTCCTCCTCCTCCCCCTCCTTCGACTACCACGTGCTGCTGCTGCGGCGGAGCCCCCGCAGCGCGTTCATGCCCAGCGCCCACGTCTTCCCGGGCGGCGTGGTG